CATTATAACCAACAAAGAAGCACATATTATAAATGGAAATATAACAGAGGGTAACATTAAGAATAACAAGGCAACCTCTGCCAGACAACTGTCACTGGAAACGAAATACAATCGAAGGCATTTTATGAATTATTGCTTGACCCATCCAGGCAGGTATTCTTGTGCAGTTGACTCTTTTCTTGAACTCGCTTTTGCTATTTTTAGAGATTCGTTACAACATATTGAGCGTAATGAGTTTTTTGAAACTTTATATGAAGCATGTTTACATTTACAAAATTGTAATGTGGATACAGATATGAGCCTTATTCGAGAACCTGTTTGGTCCTATTTGAGACAGCGTTGCAACTCATTTGCTTCAATGTCTGCACATGCTGTATTTAGTGACATATTTACATTAAACACAGTTGGAACTATGAACCAGCAGTTGGAATCAGTTTTTCTCATACAGCAGAAAAATCGGTCAGTTTGTTCATCCTGCAACAATGAAATTGTCAAAAATACATGTATATTCGTTATTTATATTACTTGCCAAAATTTGGGTCACAGCCTATTTGAAAATTGTGTTTGTGATGCAATACTTCCAAGTAGCAGAGCACTTTTCTGTGATTTGTGTCAACATTATTCTGGGGTTGTTTCAGTGCTGCAACATTTTGTTACACTTCCAAAATTTTTACTTGTAGAACTTTCATCGAACTGTATCAGTCAAATATACTTTCCCCTCTCTATGGATGTATTAGGTGAAGGTTATGAACTCAAAGGCATGGTACATTGTATAAGTCATCATTTCACCATAGCTGTAAATAATCACAGTGAATGGATATATATAGATGATTTGTGTGTTTCAGTCAGGCGTTTTTCCTCAATTCAGGATCTTTTGAATAGTTATCCCAATGGTTGGTTTTTTGCTATATTTGGAAAGTCTTTATGTACAGTTCCAAATGATTTACAGACAAACTTCATGCCTTGCCAAACATCTCTTTTAGCTGACAAATGCCATAAAACTGTGGAAAGTGTAAGACAACCTCAAGAGCCTGAAATGTGTTTCATATCTGGCAAATTCAACTTCTCTCCATGTCAAACTGAGCATAAAACTAAACAAGATATGTGTAATGAGAAGAAAAGAAGACGATCAGAGATAATGAGAAATTACAGAGCAAAAATAAAATGTAAAAAAGTAAGTGAAACTGGTAGGAGGCTTAAGTTAGATGCACAAAAAAGTTACATGAAGGAATACAGAAAAAAAAAATCAGCTAATACAAATGACATAGACAAATTGAAAGACAGAGCTAAACAAAACAACTACAGCAGGCAGTAATGGAAAGAAAAAACTGATTTTATTCTTTCAAAAAGATACTTCATGACATTTCAAACTTTTATATAGCGCTTTGTAAAGCAACAGGAATATGAGAACCAAGTCTTCTCTGCAACCTTGATAGATTCATAACACCTTTTCAACTAAATGATCCTTGCATTGGGAGGGGACCTGAGAAACTCTCAAATGCAAAATACGCATTTTTTTTTTGCTCGTTGGCACTCTATCGATAGGTATACCTAATTATTATCATTATTCTTTTCCTGGTCATCTCAGTGGAAACTGAGACGAGTCATTATCTGCTCATCTGATCCTCATGTGGACGTCAGCAGTATTTTCGATCTGTAGGGGATTCCCCTTTCTCCCTTAAAAGGCTCTGAGACGCGCCACGCAGCACATTTCGGCCATTTTGACGGAAGTGATTTGCCTCTCCCAGCAGTTTCGTTTTCGATATACGACTAGCAGAAGGGACTAGACTCTCAACTAGGGTTGCTAGAAGATGGCTTCGTCTTATTCTACTATCGAATTTGTCGCTGGAGAACTCGAAGCGCGTTACAAATGTATAGATTGTCATCAAGTCTTGTTCGATCCTGCTCAATCGTCCTGTGGCCATCGGTAAGTATAGAGCGGAAGTTGTCTACGTGGTAACTTATCTGTATTCAGTTGAAAGTTCTCTAGACATTTCTCATCATTCCGTTGTTTGAATCGGAGAGCATTTTGTGATCCAAAACTGTCATGTTGGCGTCACGAGTTACGAAGTAATTTGGGTATTTCCCCATTCGATGGCCAGAGATGTTATGCATGTTACGAAATGGTTTCTGTAGAAAACTCTGAAAACTAATTGAAGGGCAAGTTCAATGCAAAGGCAAAACTTCGAACGTCGTGTTATCCTTGATTAACATAATTTCATACGTATATATTGTTTTGCTTCAAGCAATAATTCTACCAAGTGATTGTGATTTTTCGAATGAGAAGAAGTAAGCTTTTGGTGAGGGCTGAAGTGAAGGAATCAGCTTGACGTTTTATTGAAATCATGTGAAACTAGACTTGCCACGAGTCGACCCTTGCACAATCCTTCGATCGCTTATTCGTCTCCCTCGATCGAAGCGAGATGGCATACAATTTTCTAGCGACGGAAAGCGACGTAATTCGCGAAAGGTCGACTTGTTTCAATAACCAAGAGGCCAGAGAAGAATTATTGGAAATGACTCGGTTTAGAGAGTCTAGGTAAAACGAGAGTAAGAAACCAAGAGATAGTATTGGAATTTAAGCTCGACAAATTATTAACTACCCATCAATCAAGCAACGTATTGCACAATCTCCTTTGTACTCGGCAGTTATCTCAAATTTCTGTGCGAGTTAGCACCAATTCCGAAGCGATAAAAAAACTCACATCGAAATATAGCATATCACATGGATTTTGATCAACCCACATCGCTACATATATTTCTCCTCCAGTTACGTGAAACCCGTCTAGTTGAATTGGAATATTTCAAATTACTAAGTGCCTAGGCTTATTGAAGCAACACTGTGAAATGCTTAGATCATCACTTTTAATATAAATGATCCTGTTTGGTGTAGTGACGTTATAACTAGAGATAACACTCTCAATGGACATAACATCATGTGCGGATAAGAAGCTACGTCAGACAGACAGTAAAAAGTATGTCTTTTACAAAAGTTACATGTATAACACTCAATGACTGCTGATCGATAGAAAACCAGCAGAGCTACTGATGCAGAACTGCTACATGTGGTTGAAATGCTAATGAACAAAACGAACAAGTATCTTTGACAGCTTGAGTTTTGTGTCATTGATTGAACGGAGAGCATGTCTTATCCTGTGAGTCTTTAACTAAGGTTTCTTTCACAAGTTGTTTTTGCCTGTGGATAATATTAAGGTTATCTTGCCGAGTCAGTTTTCTTAGAATTCGAAATACGTCGATGTATCCCGGAATTTCTCAAAACAACATCGAAAGTTTTCCTTGTTGAGCCATGCACTGGCAGGTTTTATTACTTGACCAAGGGTACGCACTTCGCTTGACCAGTGCAGTTTACTTGTCGGAGATACTTACCATTTTGTTTTGAACACGACCAATTAAGAATTGTACCTGTTACTGAAAACATACCCAATTCAAGACTAGAGTGCAACAACTATACCAAACGTATGACCAAAATGGCCAAAATCGTTACCCTATTTTAATATGACCAAAACGCCTGAAAAACCATACCCTTTGTAGCCGCACATACCTTTTTAGCCCATGTAAGGGAGTACCCCCCCCCCCCCCCCCACGCCAACAGGCTTATACAGAGCTTACTAACAATGATTTGTTTCAATCGTCAAGCTTATAAATGACGATGACGCTGACAACGAGGGTCTTCAAGGCCATTTGTTATTAGCCGGTGGCGGCACCGGGCCTAGGAACAAGGAAATGGAAGCTCTCATTTGATTGGCTAGATTCTCATGACTTTCTTTTTTTTGTACTTTCCGGCTTTCCGAAAATATCCACTGACAAAAGAGAAGAACATTTTTACAACTTCCTGAAGCTCTGTCACTAAGAGATTTGATCAAAAAATTTAGATCAAGGTAACCTTGTTAAATTAGTGAAAATCTTAGCCCCGCTGGATCTATCCAGTCAAATCGTGCGTGTCTCCAGTTGAGTTTCCATTTCCTCGTGCTAAGCGGAACAGGCGGCTCTGGGAATAGTTGCAGATGATGTTTTCAAAGACGTTGAAGAAGAAGTCGACACAGAAGGAACCGCCCACCGTAAATCCAAGCCAGCCACCAACATCTGGGCTTGATAACGAGGCTGCTGTGCTTCTGCAGCAGATTAAAAGGATTTCAAAATCGGAGGGAACGATGTACCAAACGGGACGGGGGGGCCTGGAATACTTAGTTGCAAAATACGCTTGGCAAAACAATTTATCAAAATGCTAATAATCACAAAAAGAAGCAATATCGTCGTTCGGCTGAAAATACGACGAACCTAAACTTCTCTTTTGTTTCCTTATATTTTGTTTCCCTATTTTCCTTACATTTTCCTTATATTTTGTTTCTGTTTCTTGGTGTGTGTGGTGCTTTCTAGGTATTTTTCTTCTTACTTTACACGTATAGTTTTGCGTCTTTCATTAATCAGTTAATAGCAGAGTAAATGTAACTGAACATAGTACTAACACATCTCTCGTATTGCAGATTTTGTTGGCGATGTGTGGAAGATATTTTTAAAAAGGATCCAACAAATCCCAAATGCCCGGATGATAAGGAGCCACTTGAAAGGCGTCTCATTTTCAGGGATAAATGCGCTCAGAAGGAAATCCTGGCGCTCGAGTGTTATTGTCCTAAGAAATCACTGGGATGTCCATGGTGCGGAAAATTAGGTCAGCTGCAAGCCCACGAAGCAGAATGTTCTTTTTCGGAAGTGAAATGCCTGTATCATCACCTTGGCTGTAACGTTGTTGTCTTGAGGTACCAGTTAGCGAAACACGTGGAGAATGATTGTCTCTACAAAGTCGTGGATTGTCCCTACTGCCTGGGTGGTTTCCCTGGGGTTAAAATGAGGGAGCATTTGGAGGAGTGTGGGAAGTTCCCTGTCAAATGTCCTCACGGTTGCAATAAGAGTGACATTCCCAGGGAAGGCCTCCTGGAGCACTCAAAAACATGTCCTCGAGTTCCGGCAAAGTGTAGCTTTAGTTCCATGGGTTGCAGTTTTCAAGGTTCTAGGGATTCCTTGGATGAGCATCTACGAAGTCATGCCTCGGAGCACTTGACACTATCGGTAAAATTAATAGTGGACGTGTCAGAGCAAATGAAAAGTTTACAGCTACAACTGAAAGATGCTCAAGAATTGAACCAAACCTACGAAGCGCGGTTAGCGCTGCAAAATGAAGCACTGGCGTTGAACAAACAGACGCTTTCCACGCACCAGGTCAAGCTGATGAGAGTTGAAGAGAACGTGGAAGCGCAGCGCAAGGGCATGGATGAACTTCGAAAGAGCGTCGAAACCTTCATGAATTCTAAACAAAGCAAACAGGCCAGTGATGAAGTTAAACAGCGTTTAGATTTGCAGGACGAAAGGCTAGCGGTACTTGGAAACGAGATAGCAAGACTCGGCGACGCTGCGGGGGGCCCTCGCGCTCGCTCGCGGGACTTCGAGCGGGCATCCTCGCCGAGTCATCATCGATTCGACCGTGTGGAACATTCCTTAAGTTTGCACGAAATTCAACTTGCTGATCAAGATCTGAAGCTTCAAATACTAGAAACGACGTCCTATGACGGAACGTTTCTATGGAAGATCGACGACTTTCAGCGAAGATTTCGTGAATCCGTTGACGGGAAAACTATCTCCATATACAGTCCTCCTTTTTACACCGCTCGTTACGGTTATAAGCTCTGCGCACGAGCGTATCTCAACGGGGATGGCCCGATGGCGAAAGGAAAATATATTTCTCTGTTTATAGTGTTAATGCGAGGAGAATATGACGGTTTGCTTTCTTGGCCTTTTCAGCAAAAAATCACCATGAAGCTGTTGGATCAGGAGCGCATCGCTCACGTCACCGAGACGTTCCGACCGGATCCGAACAGCTCGAGTTTCCAACGACCGCGCTCGGAGATGAACATCGCTTCGGGCTGTCCCCTGTTCTGCTCGCACGGCCAGTTAAGATCGAGAGGGTATATTCGCGATGATACCATGTTTATTAAGATAGTCGTGGATGGTACTGGCTTGCCGATGATTTGAAATTTACCGAGGGATTCAGGAAGGGAAGCCTCTGCTCTGAGGAAACGGATCTGAGAAAATGAAGAATCCCAGGAAAGCCAAGCTACGCAGTTAAGGTCGTCTGCATCATGCACTGCGCGGTCGTGTACACTGCCAGGTAACAGCTATCCTCCCCAGGGCGGCCATCAAGCAAATAACGAAAGCAATCAAACCAAGCAGGGCACGGGATCGCAAGGAGTAAAGGAAAGAGAACCGAGATAGTATGTTGGTTCGAAAGGCGTGATGGGCCCTGCAATTAACAGTGCATACCGAGTTTAAAGTGTCACGTGGTTCCTTTGTTATTGAATCAACACGCTCGTTTGGTTGGAATCAAAATAAAGTTATGATATTCGCGCTTATACCAGCCATGAAAAAATGATGCTCATTAGTGTGAGGCGGTGTGATTGACTGCTTTGTGATCACAAGATACAAAGTTAAAGTGTGCTGCATGTATTTATCAAATCGATCTGCTTTCGCTGGCCACTTATCATGGAATCGACTTTGTGCTGTGTTCAAAGTCCGTTGAAAATCTCGTGTCGCTTGTTTCAATTGGTAAACGTTTCAACGACTTTTGTCTTCGATTCTGTTTCGATACTTTAAATATATATTTTGACACAGCATAACGCTAGAAATCGCTTTTGATATTTTTTTATGAAAAAAATTATTTAATTGGAGTTCAAATTTGGTTTTGTGTTTGCTATGGAGCACTTCGTCCTTCGGTCAAGGTTAGTGAATGGTTGTCATGGTAACACAGACAATGTTTCTATATGCGAGCAAGGAAATCACGTTCGTAGAAGAATTTCAGAATAGACATCCGGAGAAACATCATCAAAAGGCTCGAATACTTTGATACCTTGACACATCCATGTTTTACATGAAGCCGGCTACGTGATGTCTAAAAAGCTGTGATTTGATGACCTTCGCTTTCTAAGATTTATTGAATTATCATTGTGATGTAGTGTTCAATAAAGTGAATGAAATTATTTTTGCTTTGGAGTCTGTTTCAGCTGCAATTTTCCAGTCTCATACGCACTAGCGGCTTTTCAGCAAAGTGAACCGGCTCTATCAGACAGACAAATTTGAGAGCGGCCTGGGGCATGAAGAGAGTTACCCGCCATGCAGTGACTGTATATCGTCTAGCAGTTATTCAACTCTTACATAAGACCATTAGTTTAAAAATCCCCCTTTTCATGTAGTAAAGACCACCTTGTGCTTTAATGCCTAAAATAGGTAGAACTGACTGAGCCCCATGCCCTCAAACGTGATATCAAAACTAATTCGTGGTTAAATACTCCAAGATCAATTTACCATCTGGGTTAATTTTAGCCTAAAATAAACTGTCGGTACCTTAATGATGGGCTCATATTGCGCCCCTCTAGGCAACAAAACGAACGAGAAAACCGTCTAACCGGCTGGGTTTCGATTTGTACAGCGAATTTTCTCAGGAGTCAATATCCAAGAACATTTCCGAGAAAGCGGGAATAGAATAAACGTGTTAAGTTGATTTTTGTTTAATTTCCAGGATAATCATCACTTCTCCAAGGCAGTATTAAAACTTCGACCCCATCAAAGAGCTCAAGGGGAACTTCCTGCCACTAGCCGGAAATGATCTAGGTAAATAATCCAATTCAACCTATTGAACAGGAAATATCATGCTTGACCCCAAGCTACCGGCAACTGTGCACGTATTAAACGTAGTGGACACGCGGTTCTGTGGGAGTTCTAGGAAGCGCGCGTGGCTTTCGCGAACTACTTTCCATTCAGCCACGCGTATTAAAATCGCGCGCGCGCGATTCAGAATAGCGAAGTTGCTGAGGAGGGGGACTGGGATAGACTATCCTGCGCAAATCGAAGACAGAAATCCCACAAGTAAGAAAAGATATGAGAATATGTCATGGATATATCTCCTAATGGGAAAATTGTCTTATATTTTGGTGTCATGATAAGCATCCAAATTCCTTGGCTGTTACTATAGCTATAGCGTTTCTCGAACTCTTCTTGGAAGAATTTCCATCTAGGTCAGTGAGAGGCTGATCAGTTACTTAGAGGGCAATATAGAGAAAAGTTAGCATTTTATCGCCACTGGAGAGAAGGGTTTATGACCGAGCTGTACGGAAAAGAGAACTCGTTATTCCCGAGTCTGGTGTTTCTAACTGGGTAATCATTGACTATATCAGATCACAAGTTAGGTTTATAGCATTCTAAGTTAATTACAAGAGAGAAGCCGATTTTAGTAGCTTACAATCTTTATCATCAAGTTGGAATGTTTCGGTTCCTGTGTTCCTTTCCTTGTCTGTAAACAATCCGAGCAGCTCTATTGATAATATTGATATCAGACTTAAAACTGCATGGACGAATTCCAGCTCTGCAGGTATTGGTGACCTTCTTACAGCTCAGAACAAATTCTTGCTGCAATGATCGCTGGCTTCAGACCACTAACTCGGAACAACGATCACTCTCAGGAACTGTAAGCAGTGAAGCACGCTCTTCTTTCGCGACCAGCAACGATCCACATCCTGTCAAGAGATAAAAGACAACCAAAAATATAGGTGGTCCTTGTAAAGGGCACTGATTGCTAATTCTTGAATTCCCCACACTCAAAAAACTTACAACAATAATGCGGTGCGGGATAGGCAGACACAAGTCTTAGCCCAGTAACAGCATTTATTCAGAACAACTTTCAGTAGAACAAAAACTAAGTAAGAAAACTACGCTGAGGTAAATAGCGCCCAGAAAATAATCTGAACACACCAAATCGGAACTACTGTGTGAATGAACAACCAGTAGAAAGCTGAAACTATGAAAGAACAATGGCCGAGGCCAGGCAAGACAAACTGCCGTAAGACTTACAGGAAAAAGTAAAAAATCGCGAAGGTTCCAGCATTAATATACAGAAAAAGGAAATTAAAGTAAACAGAACAAAATTAAACTGTCTGCTTCGAACACAAATGCACAATGAATCTCAATTACTGAACCGCCAATTTATACTTGCTACTTCAGATAACACACCTACACTGCATAATCTCAAACCAGCACATGCATATGTGCTTAGGAATTCAAGAAACCATTTATCTTTTGTTTCATTCCACTTCGCTGCATTCAGACAAAGATAAATGAACAAACTGTACAGTGTACTTAGGGCCTCCCTTCACCAGTAGGAAGACAATGCAACCGCTATACATCGCCCGCCTTTCGTGTGTTTTGTCTTGCTAGTCAGTTTACCGGCGTCTGAAATGGAGCATCCAACGGTGCATGACATTTCGTTCTCGTTGAGTACGAAACGTTTGTTTTTAACACATTTATGACCCTTCTATGAATATTTTAATTTGTTTCTTTTACCTTGTTATAATTCTTTTTAAACATATTTTCGTATTTTACAAGTCACGTATCAATCTTCTGTTTTTGTGAATAGCCAGTTCCAGCTTCTTTTCAAAATCAATGTCTGATTGACAACTCGGTTGTGAGGCAAACCAAACTGACGCCCAGGCCGTTCAGGAGCAATAAGTGTTTACTTTGAAATTTTCGCACGTAACAAATAGAATGATGATATTGAAAGAGTAACCACGCTGCAATGTAGTCGCGTCCAATTGCTAGCCCCAAACCTGGGCCTTAAAAGGAGCAGATTGTCAATGCTCCATAAAGTACTTTCACGAAACGAAAATGACTTTAGAATTGCCCATAACTGGGATTCCATTTGAGCTGAATGGCATTTAAAAAAAAAATTAGCCAGTTGATTCCCCAGAGAAACAAGTTACCCTCTCCATTAAAGGTTCCGCTGCGCGCTGACTAGACAGAAAGAAAGCAAATCCCGATCACGCAGTTGACTAAAATGATTTTTTTTTTTTTTCGGACAAACTTGATCACTCGACTCATTGTCACGAAAGTCCATTAGGATTCCAGCCTCTTCCTAATATGAAAATCACAGGACACTAGACGTAAAATACGCACATGGCAGTAAAACCAAAGGCCAAACTTGATTACTGTAGTTAACTTTCCACGTCCCTCGTTGCAAATTAAACCACCCCTAAAGAAAGCGAATCTGGGAGTGGCTAATGGTTCACTTGGCCCTTCTAAACCGTGCAAAATAAGACCAGAAATGATGGATCAGTGTATATCGATCTAAATCATGAGTACAGTATGTCGGCGTTCATCATTTTTTTTGCGCGTGGGCTGTCCTGATCCTTACTGTTATGAACACCCAGAATGAGACCAAAAGTCCTAAATTGACTTCCCTCCCTGTAAAACGAGACGACGAGAATCCCCCCAGGGCCAGGGTGGATGTACATGAGGCTCCCGCGCTGTACCGCACGCTGTTTTTGAACGCAATTGTATCTCTTACTGGCCTCTTTTGGCCGTTCAGTTAGTTGGTGCGCAGCGCGAAGAATGGCGCACGAAAAAAATAGGAGAGAAGCGCAGTTCCCGCTTGGGATCGCTCCTCGCACCAAGTCCCTCTCTTCCTTTTTCGCTTACATGCCGTTGCTCGCGTTACGCCTCAACTACGCCTCAACTCATGGAAGAGTCTAAACTCTTACATAATGTAAGCGGGTAAAACGCTAATTGCTGATACAGCAAGTGATAAGTGCGATCCAGACGAAGGTAAGCGCTTTATGTAGCTTGACCCTACTTTGGACCACTCTGTCCCTTTACACCATTTATAAAAGTTACGTGATATGTACGACAACCTGTGCGCGCACACGAGCGCTGGGGTCTTTAGTTATCATTTTTTCGTTCCACGTTTTCTGTTCTGAATTTCTCTATCTGAATTGATATATCCTATTTCCCAGGGGAGGGAGGGAGGGAGGGAGGGGAGGAGAGTACTCCCATATAAATAGGTCGGGGATGCTCGTCATCTACAATCTTGGACAGAATAAAATGGAACAATTATCCCCCACCCCCCCACACACACACACACACTACCAAAGCAATGATGAAGGCGCGAAGGAGCAAAACCGCGCCATTTTGGCATCATTGAAATGGGGGGGAGGGGTGGTCCAGATGTTCCATTTATTTTGTCCAAGATTGT